TGGTATGACTTGAAATTTATGTACGTATTGTATGATTATATTGTGTTCAACACGTGTGAACAAAAAACTACATCAAAATCATTAAGTTTTAACTGAAAAATCTCAATGATAATATATTGTAACAGAATTTTAATGATAGCTCAAATGAATATTTCAATGGTAACATTTTTTTTGTAAATTTTGTGGAAATGTTATGTTGAAACGTGTTTTTTGTTTTGAAACTTTTTGTGGGACTTTTACGAATCTAACGGTCGTTTTCCAATTTTGAAATTATTAACGGGACAAATAATTTCGATGCAAATTCTTACAACAATAGATAATTAGAATAAGTAGAGTTGGAATCATCATTTCTTATCTCGAATTCAAAGAATTTTAATTACAATGAAAGATTTTTTAGTGTTGATATCAGCTGAAATTTTCCAACAACAGTTATATCATTGGAATACCTATTTTTTGTTGAAGTATTTTTATTTATTCATTTATTAAATGTGGCATCGAAATTTGATAGTTTTCTTCGTTGTAAGTGCATTTTGTATGTGAAGTGAAGGTGAAGAGAAGAACTTGAATATGAACTTCAACTAGATATATTCTCATCCACGGCCACGGGGAGTACATGCAAGAGAAGGAAACTATAAGTTCATAGTAAACATTAACATTTTTTTGTCACATTTCAACTCTCGAATTGTGAACCATGATTCAAGAAGATTATGACAAAATAGTACATACTTACCTAAGGTATGTCAACACTCTTCTACAAAGTACGTAGTATTTAATTCTTCAGAGCATATTTTAACGCTTAAGTTAAGAGCCAACACCGATAAATGAAAAGACACGTTTGGATATTAATAGATTGATATAAAACTAGCGAATTGATCTTTATTCATAAGTTTGACGTGTCAAACGCAACAATTACCGTGTTTGGTAAACACTTTTTTCCTTAATTTTCAGAACGCAATGACTAACTTGATTGATAAACACTTTTTTTCTTAGTGTTTTGCTGAAAGTGTTATGTTATTTTAAAAATATTTAATATAGACTGGTTTGATATAATATAATATGCATAATAAAATGTTAACATGACATTTTCAAAATAGTCTATACAAACTACAATCTATCAAATAATTATCTTCAAATCTCTAGTAAAACTAACTACTATAATTTGATTTTTACTGTCTAATAGCCTATCAATTGTGTTTGAGCAAATTAATTTAGTGGGCTTATCGTTTTCAAGTCTAATTAGTGAATTAATTATTACATTAACATGAACTTTGATTTTCTCGTTTCTCATTCACATATGCTCAACGGCTCTTTTCTTTTTTACTTTCCTCCATTTTTATTCTTTCAATTCAAATCTGTGTGCACTCAACAACCGTTCCACCGGCAATTTTTTTTTTTTTACCAAATCTGCATTTCAGCCCCTCCGCCGATGCAAGACTTCGTGGGTTCCGCCCGCCGCCGGTCGCTGGTGCCCAAAACCTCTCGGGAAGAACCCGCCGGACTCGGAGCAATCGCTGAGAAAATCGGGTCGAGCATAAGGCGGTCTCGAATCGGGCTGTTCGCGAAGGCCCCGGTTCACGCGTCGCCTTCATCTGCGACCCCACGTAGGAACGTCGTGGAGGAGGCGCCGAGGGCGGAGGAAGAGCCGCTGCCGCCGATGGAGGAGGCCGCTGTTGAGCAGGAGCCGGGCGCTGCCGCAGCTGGAGCAGATTTTGCAGGTAAAGATTCGAGGGGGGAGAGGGCTTTAGCGCCGTCTGCGATACGGTGGCGGAAAGGGGAGTTGATCGGGTGCGGCGCGTTCGGGAGGGTTTACATGGGGATGAATCTTGATTCTGGTGAACTTCTGGCTGTCAAAGAGGTTGTTGATTTCGTCGGTGAAATTTTCTTTATACGCTAAAGATCCAATTTTTTCACACATTTAGTCAAATGTACTAGCACAAATGACTATCGAAATAAAGTTTTAAGGTTAGTCTGTATACTAGACTTTCCTTCATCTTTTCAGTCGAAAGGCGAAATTTTCGGCATGTCTTTCCACATAGGATGTTATTAAGTTCGGTTTGAAGTCTTGATTTTACTTGTTGATTAGAATTTAGTCGTACCTACATGGGTTCGGTTGATTTGAATTTAGTCGTACCTTCATGGGTTCGGTTCTGTTTGATTCAGTCGGTTGAGTTTCGCTTATATATTTTTTTAACATTGTTGGATCCAGGTTGCAGTTGCTACAAACAGTACTTCCAAGAAAACACAAGTAATTCTATTGTTTTGCTCAAATTATTTTACTATGTTCTATAGTTTTTATGAGTGTAAGATGTTGCACATATTGAGGGAGCTATCTGTCTTAGGGCTACATTGATGAGCTCGAAAAAGAAGTGAATCTGTTGAAGAATCTATCGCATCCAAACATTGTGGTAAGTCGATTTAATCTTTTATCATTTAAAATAGGTGTTTTATAAAACTGACATCTAAGTGTATATCTCTTGTTGCTCAGAGATACTTGGGAACTGCGAGGGAGGAAGATTCTTTGAATATATTACTGGAATTTGTCCCGGGTGGATCCATCTCATCTCTCTTGGGAAAATTTGGTTCTTTCCCAGAATCTGTAAGTAACTAATTGTACGATGAATGTCAGAGATTAAAATTACCTAAATGTGTTATGTGTGTCAGATGTACGATATTTCCTTTTGGAGGGGCTCTGCTTGTAGAATATTGGACCAAGTTTCTATATCTTAATAGTTATTGATCCATGATTCCATATTGTATGAAAAATCATCAACCCACTATGTTTTAGCAAGTGAATTACTATAATGTGCAAATTTCACCTGTTTGGAGCTTCGAATCTAGTTGTTGGACTCAATACTGGTTTTCCGTAACTTAAATTCATAAACTGATCTCTATATTTTTCACTTCAGGTTATTCGAATGTATACTAAACAGCTGTTGATAGGATTAGAATACCTGCACGCGAACAAAATTATGCACAGGGATATCAAGGTATATTCTGTGTTTTATTGGTTCTGTTGTAAACAAAGAGCCTTCGCATAGTGATTGTTCCTAAAGATGATAAATTGGGTTACTATTAGGGAGCGAATATCCTCGTCGATAATAAGGCATGCATTAAACTTGCTGATTTTGGAGCATCCAAGAGAGTTGAAGCATTGGTATGTCTATGCTTTAGTGCTTATTCTTGACTAGCTAAGTTTCGTACATGAATTGCATGGCAACTACTTGAGTAATGCTGGTTGCAGGTAACTGTAACTGGTGCCAAATCAATGAAAGGTACTCCATATTGGATGGCTCCTGAAGTTATTGTTCAGAGTGGTCATAGCTAGTGAGTATAAACACATTCTTCAATTCTTCTAGCAAGTGAAGTTAGCATTTGATTACTTGCTGCATATTTATTTAAGAGCACCCGCATCATATTCCATTTGTGCTTATCTATATATTCTTGTTTCAGTTTAGCCACTACAACTTTCTCATTGTGAAAAGACAAACACCTTTTTAATAGTCTAACCTTACGTTATATGCCTTCTTTGCGATGTGCTTTAGTTGGTCAAGCCCCATTGATGTCACAGTTCATAGGTCCTGGGTGAAAGGAACTTGAAAATTTGTAGTTCGACTATTCTGGAAAACTGTTCTCTTTATTACATGTCGAATAAGAAAGCTGCACTCACTTGTTATCAACAAGGCATAGCATTGCAGTCTTCGGCCAATTTAATGTCTTTTTCCATCTGATTTGCTTTCTATTCACCACCTCATTCTCCGCTTCTTTTTTCTGGTCTTTTCTTCTATCTGTGACTGTCTTTACCACCTTATTATTATATTATCATCTACAACTGTTGTATCTGAATTCTTAATAAAATATCCTGAAGCTCTGCGGATATATGGAGTGTTGGGTGCACGGTTATAGAAATGGCTACCGGAAAGGCTCCTTGGAGTCAACAATATCAGGAGGTATACCCAAAGCAATGTTGTGAGTACACTAGTGTTAAGGTTCAAATATCTTATCATTTGAATTTTAATGGTGAGTATCATTTTAGGTTGCTGCTCTCTTTTACATTGGGACGACTAAATCTCATCCACCAATTCCAGAGCATCTCTCCTCTGAAGCAAAGGACTTTTTGTTAAAGTGTTTACAAAAGTATGTAGGGTTCTATTTCCATTTTTCCCGCTCTTTATCATTTGGATGCCGAAAACGTCCTGAAATCTCTATATGTGTTATCTTGCTGGGATCTTCATGTTCAACTTCATCAATTATTGCAGGGAGCCAGACCTGAGGTCTACTGCATCAGAGTTGTTAAAGGTTGTGCCAAATTAGGCTCATTATATTCCTTTTACCACTGCATTACTTATCTCATGCCAGAGGAACGGTAACTTTTTTTGCTAATTTTAAAATTGATTTATAGGGAATGATATTGATTCACGACATCTCTTCTTATTTTTCAGCATCCATTTGTTACTGGAGAGTGCCAGGAATCAAATATCAATCTCCGACGTTCAATTGTGGTCAGTAGATGCTTTTCTTGTGCTTTCTTTGTTTTCTTCTTATGAATTATTATATTTACAAGGACCATTATAACTAACAACTCGAATATCTTGATCAGCGGGATGGTTCAGGAAAGCGGATGGCTGAGTATACGGTCGATCTTAAGGAATCGTAAGTGTTGTACGGTAATTTGGATTGTGTGTCCTGATAAAATGCTTGAAAACAGTTGTTTTGAAGTGTTTTTGTTCATGCTTCAGAATGAACATTGAGGCCAAAAGGTCCTGCATTGTTCTCAAAGATGTTGGTCAGTATGGTGGCATCAGAAGCTCCATTGTTCATCCCGAGCAACTCTCAGGAAGAAGCTCCACATGGAAACCGACGGATTCTGATGATGACATGTGTCGTATAGATGACGATGATGATCTTGCATTTGGAGCTGCTTCTGAGAAAGTCTCGCCAAATATGGTTGTTAGCGATTGTTATGAGGTCCGGGAGTAGACAACTGAGTCATTGCAAATTTTCTTCCACTATGGTGACAATTAAAGCAAATAGTGATTAATAAATTTCTTTGTGCAGAGTTATAATCCAATATGCAAGCCAAACGATGATTGGCCATGCAAGTTTGATGGAAGTTCAGAGATGGATAAAAGTGAAATGAGATCTTTTCCTAATCAGTCAATGGATTTAGGGCAGTTGGGAGCAGAAGACGATGATGAAGTGACTGAATCAAAGATTAGAGATTTTCTTGATGAAAAGGTAAATAATCGGGAAAGTATTCCTTTTCTTATTGTATTTACCAATAATTCCAGAGCTTAAATTTACGTGCAGGTACTTAAAATTCGTCTGGAATTTCACAGTGTTTCCCTTATTTTAGTAATATATGCCGCATGATTTTTCTAAACTACATTCCATTAATATACTAAAGAGCCTTTTGTTGTAGGCATTTGAACTGAAGAAGCTGCAGACACCACTGTATCAATTTTACAACTCGTCGAATGTTGCTGGTCCTTCGAGCTCGGGCGATGGAGACAAGGAAAATGCACCAGATAACTGCAACTTACCTTGTAATAGTAAGTCCCCCAGTAGGGTCGTTAGTAAAAGATTATCGGTGGTTGTTGGTGCTGACCTCAGCATGAGTCCTCGGAGGTGTTCTAAACGTGTATCTATTACGAGCACCATGAACATAGAAGCTTCTCAGGACATGAAAGAGCTTCTTCTAGATTCTCTGCAAGAGCCGGCCACTGTTAGGTACTGTTCATATCTTTTGGGTTTGCACCTTTTTTTTTTTTTTTTTTTTCTTTTCCGGGCTTGTAGTTTATTCTCTATTTGATAACATGAGATGACTTCTTTGGATAATACACTAAGGTTTAGCGAGATACAGAGGAAATGGAAAGAAGAACTCGATGAGGAGCTCGAAAGGACCCGAGGCAAGTGTTTTGCATTTCATGTTATTTTTAAAAATGTATTCCTTTAAATTTTAACACTAATTCGGATTCTCTTAATAGTGGCTACTCAGCATAGAATTTTGATATGATGTTCACAATCAGCCACAGTTATTGTTCGGTCGTATTTGACAATGCACAGATAACACCATTTCTTTTTAGTTCTTTTATGAAGTATGAGACCAACTTTCTGATAACAGAACTCATGCGTCAAGCGGGTGCAGCTAAGACATCATCACCAAAAGATCAAAGTTTGAATCGACTCAGGGATCGCTCGAAGTTTGCATCTCCAAGGAAATAGTTTAGAATTATCAATATATAGTTCCTTAAAAAATGGACCAAGTCCCATCACAAGCAACCGAGCACCATTTGACGATAGGTTGGAAGACTGCCGGAGAAAATGAATCCTGCCTTTCTTGTTGCCATGCCCGTGAGTCGATCTTTCTTTTTCGAAAGCTCCACGGCATGTATGCGATACGTCTCCCATATTATCTCAGAATAGTTGTGCATAGAGTTCTCATCATCATGAGTAGTTTTACATTATTGTAAAGTTCTGGTGCCTTACTTGGCATAGTTTTATATAATGACAATTTTATCAAAATATATAATGACAATTTTATCAAAATATCTTATTTGTTAGGCTACAACTAATTAATCACGTAAGATAAAATACAATTTAATATTATAACTTATTTATTTATTACTATATATTTGATAAGAATGCACTTTTAGCTGATTATTAGATCAAAAACTGTATAATTTTTTTCCTAATGTTTGATCAAATATTAAGTAACTAACTAATTTCCATATTCATTGAATAAATATGTTACCACCATTATGGTTGTTGACCACTGACCTGGATCGTCCAATCAAGGGAAGCCACGCGGAAGATTAAATCATATTTCTGATTATACACCGAAAATGGAAAAGCAACTTGATTTGGGGCACCTCGGTGAGAATCGGGGGGAGACCGGCCTTATCAACATATTGTAAACCGACATCAACAAGAAATCGAGATTAAGCCGACGCATTTAATGCAGATGGGATGTCCGTTAGATACCTCTAGGCCGTTAAATCGCATTTAATGCCGTCGAATCAGTCACAAAAGACGAGTCTAAAGCTACTATAAATAGCAACATTTATACTTGTACGAGGATCATTTTTTGACACATTAAATACTCCAAAACAGCTTAGTTCCACGTAAAAAATCGCCTCTTTTACTAAAAACCCGACCTGAATAATAAGAATCCAACTTATTCACATCTTTCCTTTCACTTAAATCTCGTGATTATTGTTGTTAAATTTTGCATAACAACAATGATGTTATTTTTAAGCACTAATTGAATAATAGTTTAATATACAACTCATTTATTTCTCAATTAATCCAATAGTTAATGTTGGTATTTTAAGTTTACATACATTTTGTACCTTTTCTTATTATGAATATTTCACATCTATGTAAAAAAATGTATCATAAGTTTATGTTATGTTACACAATATTATATATATCAGTACGAATTTAAAAACAAATGGATATGTAAGTATCTTATAAAATAAATTATATATCCACGTTAAATCATATTTCTTTTTGCGAATAAGTTAAATAAATTTAATTACATATATATATATATATATTATTTTATATCGATATAAATAGCTATATTATTTTTATTTTGTTTACAATATAGTGGTCATATCAAACATCGATGAAAATAAATGATATAACCATATGAGTAATGCTTTCCTACCCACGATGAGCATATATTAATATGTCCACCGCTTATGTGACATGCACACATTCGTGATGAGATTTGGTGGGCGGAACAGCCAGAACAGGCCGAAAAAAATAAAGGCTTGGTTCCTCGGACCTTCGGTCCTCTTCTTTGTTAATATGTTCAAAATCACCAATGTGTGCATGTCACATAAGCGATGGACAAATTAACATGTCCCCACCGTGGGTAGGGGAGCATTAAATTATAAGATATTACATACAAAAAGGGTGACAAATAAAAATTATTAAGTATTTCAAATTAAAAAAATTAATGGTAGAAAGCAATTAAATTATTTTTTTTTTTGGGTACAATAAGCAATTAAATTATTAGCAAAAAAAAAAAAAAATAACATACTGTTATAAAAATAGGAAAAGATAAAGAACACAAAATAGAAATCGGATATAAATTATACTGAATTTCTTCTTTCTTCTCAAAAGTGTATCCATGCAATACATTTGGGGTGCCTTTTATAGGCAAATTCTACCGACACTTTCTACACAAATCATTCATCTCCCCATACCTATTTATTCATTCCTCCATACATATTTAATTCACATCACTATTATGAATAGTGGTACATTCCACTTATTCACAATACTCCCCCTTGGAATTACCACTATTCAATGTGCGTTTATGCTGCCTCATTAAAAACCTTATCCGGAAAAACCATGTGGGAAAAAACCGAGATAAGGAAAAAAGAGTACAGCCGCACATGCTCCCCCTCGAGTTATCATCCGTGTAAATCTCGAAGATGTCTCATTCCAATGTTATGGACATGCTTTCGGAATGTTGTAGTTGGGAGCGCCTTTGTAAACAAATCTGCTGCGTTATCACTTGATCGGATGTATTGAACCTTGATTTGTTTGTTCCTTTCAAGCTCTTGAGTGTATGAGAAGAACTTTGGTGAGATATGTTTAGTTCTGTCACTCTTGATGTATCCTTCTTTGGTCTGAGCGACACATGCTGCATTGTCTTCGAATATCACCGTCGGGTCTTTATTATTCGAAAATCCACTGGTCTGTTGAATGTGTTGAGTCATGTTTCTGAGCCAGATGCTTTCTCTAGTTGCTTCATGCAGTGCAATGATTTAGCATGGTTTGAAGATGTAGCAACTAGTGTTTGTTTCTGAGAGCGCCAAGAAAATGCAGTTCCACCAATCGTGAAAACATAGCCAGTCTGAGATCTCGCCTTATGTGGGTCTGATAAATATCCTGCATCTGCAAAACCGATCATTTCATGTTTTTTATCATTTGAGTAAAATAATCCTAGATCGATTGTTCCTTGGAGATAACGGAATATATGCTTGATTCCATTCCAGTGTCTCATCGTAGGTGACGAGTTATATCTTGCTAATAAGTTGGTAGCAAAAGATATATCTGGTCTGGTGCAATTAGCAAGATACATAAGAGCCCCTATTGCACTCATATATGGTACCTCAGGACCAAGTACTTCTTCATTTTCTTCACATGGTCGAAATGGATCCTTTTCAACATCCAATGTTCGGTTAACCATCGAAGTACTAAGGGGATTAGCTTTGTCCATATTAAATCGTCTCAATACTCTTTTAGTATAGTTAGATTGATGGACAAATATCCCATTTTGTACTCTCTCTATCTGTAAACCGAGACAATATTTGGTTTTTCCGAGATCTTTCTTTTCAAATTCACCTTTCAAAAAGGTAACTGCTTCTTGTATTTCATTTGCTGTCCCAATAATATTAAGGTCATCAACATATACAGCTATTATCACAACTCCATTATGTGATTTCTTTATAAAGACACACGGACATATTTGATCATTTAAGTATCCCATTTTTAGTAATTGTTCACTCAAACAATTATACCACATACGCCCGGATTGTTTCCATATAATGATCTTTGCAACTTTAACGCACATAACTCTCTAGGTTTGGAGTTTAGTGCTTCGGGCATTCTGATTCCTTCTAGGATTTTCATATATATGTCGGTGTCTAATGATCCATACAAATAAGCAGTTACAACATCCATGAGACGCATCTCAAGATTTTCATGGACAGCTAAACTCATCAAGTATCTGAAAGTAATTGCATCCATGACAGGGGAATATGTCTCATCATAATCGATCCCATGCCTTTGGGAAAATCCCTGTGCAACAAGGCGAGCTTTATATCTCGTGATCTCATTTTTCTCATTTCTCTTTCTGGTGAAAACCCATTTGTATCCAATAGGTTTTATGTCTTTTGGTATAATGGAAATAGACCCAAAAACTTTTCGTTTATTGAGTGAATCTAACTCGGCTTGTATGGCGCCTTTCCATTTATCCCAATCATGTCTTTTCTGACATTCAATTACAGATTTTGGTTCAGGATCCTCAACTTCATTTTCAATTTCTTTTGATACCATATATGCAAATGCATCATCAATATTTGTGATCTCATCACGCTTCCAAAGATTCCCATTATTTACGTAATTAATGGAAATTCATTCTGCCTCGAAATTTTTTCATCATCTTTATTCTTTTCCAAATTCGGGTCACGAATTTCTCTTTTCTTTCGAGGATTCTTATCTTTAGACCCAATTGGTCTTCCTCGTTTCAAGCGTGTCTTTGACTCATTTGGCACATCATCATTTGCCATTTCTTTTGGAATCTCAATTCGAGTAGGGGCATTCACAGCTGCCACATGTGATTTGGTCACCTTTTTTAAATCAGTAAATGCATCTGGCAATTGATTTGCGATATTCTGCAAATGTATGATCTTTTGAACTTCTTGCTCTCTTTGTTTGGTGGGAGGATCAAGATATGATAGTGATTATGTTCTCCATTCAATATTTCTCTCAATTGATTTTTTATTCCCCCCCAATTCTTCATTAAAATGACAATCATCAAACCGAGCTATAAAAACATCACCTGTTTTCGGCTCAATGTATTTGATTATTGATGGAGATTCATATCCAACATATATTCCCAACCTTCTTTGAGGCCCCATTTTTGTACGTTGGGGCGGAGCAATTGGTACATATACTGCACAACCAAAAATTCTTATATGCGCAACATTTGGTTCTCGACCATATGCCAACTGTAATGGCGAGTATTTATGATATGCACTTGGTCTAATTCGAATTAGATCATCTGCATGCAAAATAGCATGTCCCCATACTGAAGTGGGAAGCTTTGTCCTCATTATCAATGGTCTAGCTATGAGCTGCGGTCGTTTAATTAATGATTCTGCTAGAGCATTTTGAGTATGAACATGTGCCACAGGGTGTTCAACATCAATTCCCACTGCCATACAATAATCATTAAATGCTTGAGATGTAAACTCACCAGCATTGTCAAGTCTGACCATTTTGATAATATAATCTGGGAATTGAGCCCTTAATTTGATAAGTTGGGCGAGTAATTTAGCAAATGCCACATTTCGAGTTGATAACAAACTCACCTGAGACCATCTACTAGAGGCATCAATCAACACCATAAAATATCTGAATGGACCACAAGGTGGATGAATAGGTCCACATATATCACCATGAATCTTTTCCAAAAATAATGG